GATCTCCTCCTGGTTGGCAGCTGGAGGCTGTAGGGTTCTGACAGCTTACCTGGTATTGGGCTGGAATCAGCAAGGCTGGAACTTGAGGGCAACTCTTAGGTTGCTTTCTTCAGCTCCTTTCAGATGAATGCTGCAGGGTGTTTATCCACCTGGGGCCATTTGTGGTGTTATTTTTGCTGAGGTACTGTGAGATCCATTTGCTGTAGAATGCCAAGGCACCAGGATCTCCTCCTGGTGTGCTAAAGTGTGGCTTTCTGCTAGGTGGCTGGGGCGCCTCCCATTCTGTACTACTCCCCTTCCCCCAGGGTAAAAGGGGCCTTTCCCGTCAATCCATCAAGCTACCTGGGCTACTGCACTGCTACTCCCTGACTTTCTTCTGGTTCAGCTGTTCCAGGGGTTTTTTGGGGGTGATATTTTCTGGGTTTTCAGAGGTTGATAGGGGAGAGTGGGAGTGACTACCTTTTTACTCTGCCATCTTGGCCCCTGGAAGTGGAAGTCCATCTGTAAAATGGAGATGATAATAATAGCAGCTAACTCCCAGCATTGTTTTGAGGAAAAAATAAGATAATAATTTTAAACAACTTAGCTCAGTGCCTGGTATGTAGTAAGCATTATATAAATGTTAATTATTTACTATTATTACAGTTAGGCACATCTGACAGGTTGTTGTGTTATAATATAATGCCCTCAGTGATGATTGCAGTACAAAAAACCTTTTTCTTCTACAATAATTTGCCTCGAACTGATGTTCTTTTCTAGCACTTAGAAAGTTAATTTGCAGAAATGGAATGAGTATGGGACTTAGCATCAAGAGAGTTGGGTTCATATCCTGTTCCTGACACTTATATGACCAAGCCCAAGGCACTTAACCTTTATGATCCTCAATTTTCTCATCTGTAAAGTAAGGAGACTGGTACTTGACCACCCTTCCTCTCAAGGTTATTCTGGGGAAACCCCATTTGGAGTTTTCTTGACAAAGATACTGGAGTGGCTTGTCATTTCCTTCTCCAGTTCATTTTACAGATGAGGAAACTGAGGCAAACATGGTTAAGAATTGTCTAAGCTTGCACAGATAGTAAGTGTCTGAGGCTGGATTTGAGCTCAGGAAGATGAGTCTAGCCCCGTGCTCTGTCCACTGTACTACCTAGCTGTTTAATTTTTATAATTTTAATTCATCCCTCAAGTTTCACCTCTTGTGTTACCTTGCCTTCTAATTTTCTGTCAAATATTATATTCTGCTGTCTTTGCTTATTGTAGCTGAACAAGCCCTGATTCCCCTAGGGGTCAGGTCATAGGGTTATAGAATTTAGAGCTGAAAGGAACCCTCAATATTCATTTAGTTACAAAATCATAGTCCCAAAAAGGAACTTCAGAATTGCACCATCTAGCCCAACCCATATATGAAAAGGTTACCCTCTGGAACACAACCAGACAAGGGAGCATATAGGCTTTTTTTTAATAACCCCTAATAAGGAGGCACTGATTCTCTTCCAAGGAGCCCCATTCTACTTTTTAATAATTCCAGTTGTTCAGAAGTTTTTTTTTATTTTCTCCTATATCAAGCCTAAATCTACCTGTTTGCAACTTCAGTCTATTGAACCTAATTCTACTCTCTAACACCATAATTTTCTTTCCATATGAAATCCTTTTTCCAGCACCAAAAGATGTATTCCATGTCCAAATTAAGTCTTCCCTTCTCCATGGTCAACTTACAAGTTCCTTTAGCCAGTCTTCATGTTGTATGAGCTCAAGTCGCTTCATCACTCTGGTCACCCTTCTCTGGGCACTCTCTAGCTTAACCCATGTCCTTTCTAAAATGTAGCACCCAGAAATGAGCATCATCCTGAGGTGCCTAGGTGTTATAATGGCTGGAGTGTCAGAGTTAGAATCAAAATGACCTGAGTTCAAATTTTGCCTCAGGCGATGGCTGTTACTGCAGTTTCCTTCCCTATACCATGAGGATAATAGTGTCATTTACCTCATAGGATTGACTGTTTTGAGAATCAAATGAAACATAAATGTGTTCCCAAAGAGTCAGTGCAGTTTTAAGCTTAATGGCTTTAAATAACTTAAAAGTGCAACAAGCCTTTGGGGACTTTTAATTTAATTAAAATTGATTTAACATGTATATATACACATATGTTATACAGATATACTTATGAATGGACAACATCAATGCAAACTTTACAAAGTGATACAAATGCTAGCTATTGTTGTTTTACAGCCTGAGAAGGGTATGGTACAGGCAGTACTAATGCCTTCATTGTCCTTGACACAATGCCTCTTTCAAAGCCATTTATGATTTTCTTGTCTTTTGGAGCTACTGTATCACACTGTTGACCACTATTGACCTGACCTGGTATTCTACTAAGGCTCCCTCTTTCCCCTACATCATTTTCCAATGGACTGCTGTTAAGCCAAGCATTCCCTGCCTCCTACTTAAAAGCTAATTGAAGCTTGGAATAAGACTTTACATTTATCCCTGGTAAATTTCATCTTATTAGATTTAGCTTAATATGCCTGTCAGGATCTTTATTTATTTATTTGTTAGTTTGTTTATTCATTTATTTATATTTTGGGGGATCTTGACACTGTCATCCTATGTATTAACCATCTCCAGTTCCCCCACCTCCAGCAGACCTAATCTGCAAATTTGATAAGCACATCTCCTATATATTTATCCAAGTCATTGATAAAAATATTAAGTAGTTCAGGGTGAAGCACAGATCTCTGAGGATCATCCACTATTCATTTAGAAGATGAGGAGTTGAACATATAAAGGAGGCTAAGGTTATTATAGGCAGTGATTTGGTTTTAATTTCAGTTCTGTCACCAATTATCCATGGGACTTAATTGGTATCACATTTTAGTGTTGCTTAGACAATACCCACATGCCATGGAGGACAGTATGGTGTAGTGGAAAGAGCATGAAATTTGGAATTGGAGGATCAAATTAAATTTCTTTGTCAGCCAAGTACTTCCTGTGTGTGACTTGGGGTAAGTCACATAACCTCTCTAATAATGATCATTAGCATTTTTATAAGGGAAGCTAGGTGGAACGGTGCATAGAGTACTGGACCTGGAGTCAGGAAGATTAATTTTCTTGATTTCGCATTTGGCCTTCAACACTTACTAGCTTATGCGACCCTGGGCAAGCCACTTAAGCCTTTTTTCCTCAGTTCCTCATTTTCAAAATGAGCTGAAGAAGGCAATAGCAAACTATCCCAGTGTCTTTACCAAGAAAACCCTGAATGGAGTCACAAAAGTTCAGATACTACTGAAACAACTAAACAACGACAGCATTTATGTAACAAGTAAAGGTTTGCAAAGAACTTTACGAATATCTCAATTTATCTTATTTGGAAATGAGTTGCTACTATTATCTCAATTTTGCAAATGAGGAAACTGAGGCAGACAGAGGTTGAATAACATTCCTAGCATCACAGAGCTAGTGTCTAAGGCAAGATTTGAACTCAGGTCTTCCTGACTCCAGATCCAGTGTTACCTACTGTCCCATCTAGTTGCATCTATAGGAAAACAGGGTCAAGAATCTCACAGCATGAGATGTGTTACTTCTAAATATATATATATATATATATATATATATAGTTTCCTTCAAGAGTAGGTCTCTTTAAAGTCCTCTAAGCCTCAGTTTCCATATTCTATTTGTCTAATCAGAGTATTGTGAGAATGCTTTTTAAATCTTAAGATACTATGTAAATATGAGATGCTATCATTTATTAATCAGAATGCAATTAGCCTTTCCCTGAGCCTTTTGTTCAATTGAGATTTTAGAAGAGAAATATTTTTTAAAAGGGTTTTTTTATTATTTGGGATGTGTGGAATACTCACTTGTTAGCATAAGTGTCAGATACTCTTTACTCTCATGATAATTTTCAGATCAAAATTTCTGAGTTTAATTCAAGCAGGCTACCCTAGAATATGAACCTAGCAATGAACTAAGTAGACCCTATTTCAAATCAATGATTAAATAGACATCACTACAAGACCTGGAGGCATTGCTGATTCTCCAAAAAAAAAATCGTTGTTATTCCTGTTGCTATGTATTATTTTGAGAGAATTAAAATATAATTTAGATTACTGCTTGAAATTGAATGTATCTGATGGATATTGTGAGTTCTGAGTGGCCAAAGCAGTGGTAAGTCAATTTAGGATGGGTTAAGAAAGGCCCCACATTTCTTTCTTTGGTTTAATAGGTTCTATACACTTGAGAAGACCAGCAACAAAAAAAGTTTTCCTTAAGTCATCTTACTTAATGCTATGCACTTTCTCACTTTTATTATACAAATGATTTTAAAAAATGCAAGATTGCTTAAGTAAAAAAAAACAGAATAAGAAAAATAATTGGTTATTTGGGAGACTTTGACCTCTTGTCATAAAAACAAAATCAGATCAGCTGTATTATTTGGGGGGCTAGTTGTTATGCCAAAAGAGGAAGATTGTATTATTAATTATTTGGTGAACATAGACTAGATAATGAAATCAAGCAACATAGCCCAAAATTTCCTTTACTAGGTAAGCCTCAGAGATGTATTCTTATTTCTGTAGTAACAAAATAGAGGACTCAAATGCTTTCTTCACTCCTTTTTATATAGTGTAGACTCAATCTACATGCCCAAATAAAGTGCTAAAGCCTCACTAAAATTGTGTGGCTTCTTTTCTGGTAAGGGAAAAATGACTAAAGATAATTTTTCATGGGCCTAGCTATATATAATTCCAACAAGTAACCTAGACTTCAGTCACTTTGCACCATGGCTACCAACAGAGGTCCATTTTCCCTCCAGGTTTCAGCTCTAATATCTCACCTATTTTAAAACTTAAGGGTTCTTGCCAAAATAAATGAAATAACAAGTGGATTCCTATCCAAATTTATTTAAAATGCTGAAGTTCCTATGGAAACCATGTATGCAAAAACAAGTGATTAGAAGTTTGAACTGCTTCCTCCCCTGTGTGATGGTTTTAGTTCTCTAACAATTTCCTTTTTCTTCTTGGATCATTACGGTATCCTTTGGATTGACTTGCAATTTTTCACATTCCCCTTTTTGCCCCCTTTTGCCTTTTTACATTCATCATTTCTCTTCAGGTATTCCCTTTAGGCTATTTCCTGCCTCCCCTCCAACTGACTTTTCTTTTATTAAATTCTTCACGAAAGGCCTCACTCTATATTGGTCTTCTATGTGGATCCACTTGCAGTTTTTCTATTTCATGACAAATCCAGCTCTGTCCAGTTCACCATCTGAAATTGGAGGGATTAAAAACCTGGATTTAGAATTTCATTGATACGAGGAACTCTAGGAGGACGAAACTCACTCTACTAATACAAGCCAACACCTTCTACTGTTAGAGAGTAGCTTGAAGCAATGAGATATTAACTGAGTTACACAGGGTCACACAAACAATACATGTCAGCTACCTGACTTGAACCCACCTCTTCTTGACGTCTGGCTGGTTTCTATCCACGTACCACACTGCCTCTTCATCTGAGAAGAGCAAATCAAGCAGATTTGTCCTATTTTTGTATTTTCTAAAAGGGATAGACAACAAATGCTGATCTTTGTGTTGTCTATTTTTAAACACACAATAATGTATAAATATACATATACGTGTGTATATGTACATATATATGCCTCTCAACAATTTAATTTTTAAAATCTGAGAAAATTCTGTAGATTGGAAAGAAGTTTGCCAAGGATGGTGGATTATATTGATGTTATATTAGCTGTTTAATCAAAAGGTAGCAAGTGTACAAGACCTTTCTGCAGCTTTCAATTTGAAAAAAAAAAAAGATTTCATTAGGGGAAGGGGGAAAAAAGAACTCACCTCGGGTCTGGATGTTGGAGAATGCCTGAGCCTTATGAAACTGGCTGAAGAGACAAACTGAGTGTCGAAATGCAGATTAGGCTTCAGAAGATGAGGGTGTAAAAGGGATTTAATGGTGGGATGGATTATAGAAATCCTTGTAACAATGTTAAATAATTATAGTTCCAGCCGAGATCAAAGCTGTGCTGATTGAACGCCCTCAAGCTGTTAACAAGAAGTATCTGGAAGGGGGTGTGTGTGAGGGGAGGGGGGAATCCTCCGAGATTGGTCAGCCTAGTCCAGCCTGTGCCCTCTGATTTCTAGCTGTCCCTGTGGTATTAGAGGTGGGATTCCTTGGGGAAAGGTGTGAGCCATCGGCTTGGGGTGGGGGGATGGGGAGGGCGGTTGGGGAAGCATGGGGAGTAGGTTCCATTCAGTTGAGTGCACGTGCTAGACTTAGTTGTTTCAAAAATTGCTATTAGACTAACTTCAGGAAATATTATGGAGGCTGCAGAAAGCTTGTATCCAATTTACCTTTTGAAAATAAGAGTTACACTTGTTCAACCATCCCATGAACTTTAATGGGACATCCTATAATTAGGCTCCTCTTCTGCTCTTGATTCTCCCTGTGAGCGACATTTACTTGATATTGGACATACTGGCGTGGCCACAGCCACAGGGAAGGATAACCAGCTGGGCCTCTTTGTTGGTTGTTCATTTCCTAGCAGGTAGAGAACACAGGGGAAGTGCTTGTAGATTATCTTCCTTGCATTCTTGCCTTGAGAATTATGAAGATGAACTATCTGTGTATGTGAACTGTGTCCTTTTCTTTTTGACCTCTGAAATTCTAAAAATGTTTTAAAAGATACAAATGACATTAAGTAACTTAAGATTAACTTTTTTTCTTTTTTTAACGGCACAGCAGTCTAAAAACCTGCCAACCCATAAACCAGTAAGTTGTGCTTTTTGGACATTTTGAAGAGTAATTTTAATACAGCTTATATCAGGATGTCATGGTAAATATTGTTTACTTTTCTCCTCGTAAATGCATTTTGAATTTAGTCTTATAGAAAGGAGATTCTCCATTACTATATGGCAGAAAACACAAGAAAGCTGGCTAAATAAATCTGAATTTTTGGTGACTCTCTTTTATTCAGTAGGTTTGCTATTCCTAAATGTGCTTTTGAAACTCCTGACAAGTTTTGAGATCAAGGTGACTACTTGCAAATATGTGTGTGTGTGAATATGCATATGTGTCTATATATGTATAATATGTGTGTGTATATGTATATACATAGATATATGTATAAATAAAGATTGTGTGTATGTATATAATGATCTTTTGTGTGTGACCAGAAAGTTTATTGGAAGAGATTGAGATCAGATATTTCAGAGTGGCCTTTCTCTCACAATGGTAGTGTGTCTAACTGAGCCCTTCAAAGTTCACTTTGGTTCAGAGTTTTGATAACCTTTATGTTAAAAAGATGAGAAATGAGGATCCAAACATTACTCTATAAATAATACCTCAGCACAATGGAATCAGAGAAAAAGGGAGGGGGAGCCAGGGCTTCATGACTCCATGAGAGAAGGAGGGAAAGAGGAAAGTGATACTTTAGGCAATAGGAAATGCTTGTTAGGAATCACCTAGGAGCACTCACACCTTTTTTTTTTTTTAATTCCAAGAATATCTCTGTACAGAAACATCCAGGTGACTGTGTTTCAAGGATTAAATACATCTGTTATGTCTTTTCTGAAATTAGAATGAATAATTAAAATTAAGGAACTCTATAAAATATAGACAATGAGTGAACTATTCAACTTCATGATCTTCCATGTATGCTTTAATATACAAACAGCATTAGACATGTGCTTTCCATGCCTGAATAATGAATGTACAGTTTTCTGGGGTACAAAAGGTTTTAGGCTAATTACTCTTGAAAACACTTTTTTTTTTACTGAAAAACACGATCTATGTGAAATCTGCCAAATATCAGGAGATTATTTGAAATGTTGACCCACATGAAGCAAAATACCCAATATTTTACAGTATGTGGTATTTCTTTTTGAAGTAAAAAAAATCAGTTTCCTAACAACAGCTAAAAACAATAAAAGAAGAGTATAACATGATTTAAACCTATTTTAATAGTTCAATATTAGTCAAGTTTATGCCTGTACAGACAATATTTTCTTGTTTGGAAATTGGTAATGCACTAACTGATTCCATAGGTTCAAAACTCATTTGGGTTTTACTCTTCCCCTTGTCTTTATATTGCCTTTTTGTTACCACTTCTCTTTTGAACACGAAGCAGTTGGTATGTCATTGCCTTCATGGGGCTGGAACAGGAAGGTTTCTTATATGCAAACAAGATCTGGTAATTACCTAGAGTGACTAATATCATGAGAAATGATCTTGTATTTTATGATGATGTCAAATGGTAATGGAAATGCCCTATATTTTTATTTTTGAGAGATATCATTCTTCCATCACATATCTGGAAAATGACACGTTATTATGTACCTGAGAGAATTTTAAAAGAAACAATCAAAATTTGCCTAATGCTTTTTTCTTTTCCAAAATGGTAAGCAATTATTTTTAATCTCCCCCTGAGTTATCTCATTGTATTTTAAATTTATTTGAAAGTGGGAAGAATCACTGCCTAATGATAGAAAAGGATATCTAACTAGCATTAGAGTTCTACAATGGTTTAATATGTCATTGCCTGATTTGTTTCACTTTATGCTTTCACTTGCCATCTGTGAAATGAAAATGCTAGCAAAACCTACTACTATGGGTTAATTGTTGAATTGTCCATGCTGTATGATTATTTTGGTAGTGCACTCTGAATTGAGTCTGAGCATGGTGGGAAAAGAATATATTTATTCTTGAGAATTATCATTTGATGATTATCTGATGTTTCTAAGTCCAGATTTCTACGATTTAAAAAAGAAAAAAAACCCCTCAACTTAAATTGTTTGAAGTCATATACTCGAAAATTATTTCCATTTTCATTGTGGTTTCTTTCCCAACTTCAGTTAATAACATTTTTATGATTTGAAGTTCCCTAAGAACTATAATTTTTATCTCATATTTATGTTATCATAACTAATAATGTGCTCTTTGTCCAAGATTTCTTGGTCCAAACTCCAAGCCAACAACTAAGAAAAAGCTTCTCAAATCAATTCTAGTCAGTTTTCTTTGGCATTTCAGCTCCCTCGTGGTGAAAACCACAGTGAATATGTCTGTATGCCAGGGGAGAGACACATTTAGTGCCTCAGTAGAGCCATGATCTCATCCATCCAAGTATTCTCATCTCTCCATTGGTTCACATAGCAACTTATTAACACTTCTTTATCCTAAGCAATTCTTGTCCATGCTTCCATACATCTTTTATAAAATATTAATCCAAAATGTTACAGACCTTTCTCTCAGTCTTTGAAAGTGTGTTATGAGCACCATGCAACAAAGAACCTATGTCTTTTCCTTTGCTGTCCTAAAATATCAGTGGCACGTCTCATTTTCTGTCCATGCATGTTTTGTAGTTTTATTTGTAGTGATAGTATTAATGTGGATGTGGTCTACTTTTTCCTGGAAAGTGTTAATTTTTTGGATCAAAATCTCACTTTAGAGTCGCAACACTATTCCTAATCCCACCAGTCTTCCTTTCTGCCAGGATCTTTGTGAAAACAGAAGAGGACAACACAATATTCCATTCAATAAAGATTTACTAAGGCAACAAAGAAAAGTCCCTGTTGGGGCAATGAAAGTCATTTCATATTTTTATATTTTTATTTGTTTCTGAGATGAGATTAGATGAGATGAAAAGGCCTATGTCCAATGTTGTGGTCACTGTGGCTAAAGATTTTTCTGCCTAGTAACAAACTTGCTTGTGATGAGTCGTTTCATGGACAGAATGCATAATTGATGCCTACACTGTGCAATCTTAAGACTCTGTCAAACTTTCTTGGAATTAGCAAAGAAGATATCTAAATTTTGAAGTAGGATATTTTATAATGGACCATTCTCAAAATCAAAACCCAAACTTCTGAATTTAACGGGAAATAAAAATGACTATTTCGAAGCATTGCTTTTTGGGATCTTGACATCTAGAAATTTGGGCAGGTATTAAGACTTTCTCTCTTTCACAGATTATAACAACATAACATAAGGTAAAAAGTACTCTACAGACATCTTGAATAGCTCCCTGTCCCAGGAAGGAATGCATATATCCTATACAAATTTATTTTAACCCATATGGAGAAAATTAACATCCATATCAAAAATTCAGCTTAAAACAAGGTAACTCTTAAAGCTTAGATTTTCTTCCATGTAATCCAAAGCTTTGTGCTTAGCATCAATTTTCTCATCTTTTCTGTGTAAATGGAAAATGACTGATTGAATAATCCTTACTTTACTTAAAGTTAGTCATTCTTCATTGTTACTCATGGGTAAAATGATTGAAATAGTGATGACCTTTTTTTCAGAGTACTTGTTTTCCACCTGAATTTATTTTATATCCTTTTTTTGGACCTTTGACAAATATCCTCTTTATGCTAAGACATTGGTTTGCAGGCCAAAGGTGTACCTCAAATTGGGATTTTTAGGATTAGCAAAAAGTACATTTGGTGGTTATTGCAAATAGGGAATGAGAGTCTGAGCTAGGGTGGTAGCCCTTTGAGTGAAGATCATGAACACAGGTAAGAATATAAAATATATAGAAAATAATTTCCATACAGAGAGCACTAAAAAATGAAATATTAGGAACAGACTTCTGTATGTGAAGTGGCATTTGAACTCTGTTTTGAAGGAAGTTAAGACTTGTGTGAGGCAGATGTGAAATCTTCTATCCATGAAAATGTTATATATAAAAGCAGTATATAGAATGAAGTACATAGCAGAACAGTAAGTAGACATCTAACACAGTGTCTTGCACAACTAAGTATGTGTATACACACATATGTGTATAATATATACATGCACATGTATATATTCATATATACCATATATATATCTGTTACATACAAAACTACATTTCTATATAAACATATAGTATATATAAACATTATTTTAATTGAATTGAACAATGAATTTCTCTGCTCAAACATTTCCAGTGGCTTCCCTTTGTCTATAGCAGGGGTTCTTAACCTTTTTTGGCCATAAATTTATTTGCCAGTCAGATGAAGCCTATGTATCCCTTCTCAGAATAATGCTTTTAAATGCATAAAATAAAATATGTAAGATTACAAAGGAAATCAATTTTATTGAAATATAGTTAACAGAATGATTTTTAAAATGAGATAATTCCATGGACTCCACATTAAGAATGTCTGGATTGATAGAAAAGCAAATCCTGTTTATGACATTCAAGGATCTCCAATATCTGATTCTAAGCTACCTTTTTTGTTACCTTTCACATCACCTTTCACACTATTATGACTCATTTACTCT